AATTATCCAATGTCAAAAAGGATTTTTTTATCACTTTTGCAAATGTGGTCATTCCTACATTTTGGGCAAAAGTATATAAATGCGTTACTTTTGTGAAAAAAAACATTGAAATTGTTTTATTAAAAAAAAACTATTTTTTAGAAACGTAAAAAATGTGTATAGCTCCAATTATCTGTCGAAAACGCAAATTGTAATTTAAATATTTTCTGCTCATTGCGGTAAGGTAGCATCAACAGCCGTTTTTCGCAAAAACTGGGTTAGCTGAAAAATTTTTTTGGAACGTAGAAAATTAGCTCTTAATTCAGCTTTAAATGATCCGAATCGGAAATTCAATTCTATTGATTTTTTAAATGATTATTCTGCTAACTTACAAAAAAACTAGCATGAATGCGTTTTTTTTCTAAATGGCATTAGCAGAAAAATTTTTAGGTGCATATAAAATTAGCTCATAATAAGCTGCAACGCTATTGTTTTCTGAAGCGGCATAAAGATGAAAACTTTTGGAATAATAACAAATTATCCGATAATGATTTTTCAATTATCCAATGTCAAAAAGGATTTTTTTATCACTTTTGCAAATGTGGTCATTCCTACATTTTGGGCAACATAGTATATAAATGCGTCAGTTTTGTGAAAAAAAAAACATTAAATTTTTTTATAAAAAAAAACTATTTTTTGAGAAAAAAAATTTTCTTCAACAATTTTTCGAAACGTGAAAAATAGTTGCTAATGAGCTGTAAATTATCCCATGTCGAAAACCAAATTTTGTTAATTTTTAACTATTTTTCCTGCTAACTTGCGGTAAGGTAGCAACACCGTTTTTCCAAAAACTGGGTTAGCTGAAAATGTTTTTGGATGCGTAGAAAATTAGCTCTTAATTAGCTGTAAATGATCCGATATCGGAAATTCAATTCTATTGATTTTTTAAATGATTATTCTGCTAACTTACAAAAAACCTAGCATACGCATCATGCTAGCATGAATACGTTTTTTTTAAAATGGAATTAGCAGAAAAATTTTCAAATGCATATAAAATTAGCTCATAATAAGCCGCAACGCTATTGTTTTCCGAACGGCATAAAGATGAAAACTTTTGGAATTATAACAAATTATCTGGTAATGATTTTTCAATTATCCAATGTCAAAACAGATTTTTTTGCCACTTTTATGAATGAGATTTAGTTCATTTCTACATTTTAGTCGAAAGTATGTAAATGCGCCGTTTTGTGAACAAAAAACAAAAATTCAGAAAAAAATTTGTTTTGAAAAAAATTTTGTTTTTTTTTAAATTTTTTGAAACGTAAAAAAATAGCTGCTAATGAGCTCTAAATTATCCCATATTGAAAACGAAAGTTTGTTCATTTTTTCCCCATTTTTTCTGCTAACTTGCGGTAAGCTAGCATTGACGCCGTTTTTCCAAAAACTGGGTTAGCTGAAAATTTTTTGAAAACGTAGAAAATTAGCTGTTAATTAGCTTTAAATTATCCGATATCGAAAATCAAATTCTATTGATTTTTTAAATAATTTTTCTGCTAACTTACAAAAAAGCTAGCAGAGACACGTTTTTTTCAAAAAGGGTATTAGCAAAAAAATTTTTGAAGGCATACAAAATTAGCTCATAATAAGCTGCAAATTAACCAATATTGAAAATTCGATTCTGCTACTTTTGCCTGTTAGGTTAACATACGTCTCAATCATACTAGATTTAAATAGAAATTACCGATAATTGGGACTTTATTCTTTAATTTTTCGGGAACATTTTCTGAAAATTATTCAAAATTTCAGACTATTCCAAAACTTGTTGCTTGGTGGAAATTTCAATATATGGGCCATTTCGCCAAATATCGGCGGAAATCTGGCCTCAAAATTTTCGACAATTTTTTTTTTGCTTCGTCTAAATTCTTATGTATATAAAAGAAGATTTTTCAACGCGTAAAAGTCCCGCGGCTCAATTAGAGGCCGTCCGCATGATTACGAGTTTTATACTTGAAATTTTTCGCTCTTATAAAACGTATTAAAAGATGCTAAGAAAAAAAAAAATCAAAATATAGTTTTTCATCGGAAATTTTCAGAAGTTTCCGAAAATGATGTTCATTTTCTCCCTCCGCCCCTCCTCCATCGTGAAAATCGAAAAAGAAACCTCTAAACGTCATTTTTGGCAAATTCGCCATTTTTTTTTCAAATCTGATATTTTATCGCAAAAATTCAGAAAATTTCCGATCAAAATCATATTTGAAACTTGTTCGCTCCTATGATGCTCATCTGCAGAAAAATAATTCTAAAAAAGAGAATATTCGAAAAATAATAATATTGTAGGAAGAAGACGATATTTCCATAGAAGATGATGATATTATAGAAAATAGAGAATGTTTCCATAAAATATGCTCTTCGTTCTATGATATTCATCATTTTTCGAATATTCATTTTTTTGTTTGTTATTTTTCTTTACTTGAGCATTATAGAAGCGAACAAGTTTCAAATATGATTTTGATCGGAAATTTTCTAAATTTTTCAAAAAGAATATTAGATTTTAAAAAAATGGCGAATTTGCCAAAAATTACGTTTAAAGGTTTCTTTTTCGATTTTCACGATGGAGGAGGGGTGGGGGGAGAAAATGAATATCATTTCCGGAAAATTCCGAAAATTTCCGATCAAAAACTATGTATTGATTTTTTTTTCTAAGCATTTCTACGAACGTTCAATTCGATTGAACAATTTTCGCGTAAAATCGTTAAACCTTGCGCAGCCCCTCCAATTAAAAGACGGGACCTTTCCTAGTCGAGAAATCTTTTTTTCTATACACAAGTAGTACAAAGAACCAAAAAAAAAAGTATCGACAATTTTGAGGCCAGATTTCCGCCAATATTTGGCGGAATGGCCCATATTCATTGGAAACTAGAAACTTCGTTACTAAGCCCGATAAACCGCGATTTTAGCTTCACTGCGTTCGGTTAAAACGCGGTTTTCGGACCCGTTGACGAAAAATATTGTTCGATATACGGCAGTGAAAAACTTTTCTACCTCATATGATTACAGAACCCGCTTTCGGCTCGTCCTGTAACCTCATATTCGCCAGAAAAATTTCCTCACGGCCTAATGTCGAAATGTACTATTTCGTTTATTGACAAGACTTGGCGATTTTGACTGAGAAGTTTCGTTACTCTTTTATGCAAATTCTGCCATCATATTCCTTGGCAGTAAGTAGAAACAATTTATTCCATTCAAATCCGCGTCAAGTCGCACATGCAAAGTTTTACCTAAATTTTTACCCATGCGCTAGAAATGAAAGAAGGAGATCAGATATTTTCTTGGACCTAGAAAAAGTGAGTAACAAACGGCCAGTCAACATTTCGTTTTTTCAAGGGGATTATTGAGAATCTTCCAAATATCATTTTATTTGATACAATGCTCTGAAAACAAAAACGTTTGAATTATTGAGGAAGGGTGGGGTGGTTCGACAAAATGAACACTTGAGATTTTTTCGATGTTAATAACCCAAAAAAGAATTTATGAATTGAGTTCAGTTTCGTCACAAAGGCGGATACTTGTACTTTCTATGGAAAATATTAAAAACAAAAGTTGAAAATGTCCACTTTCCCTGATACATCTCAAAGTCAAATATCTAATACGAAACAGATTATTGGAGAATTGTCCATCAACTTTGAAAATTGTCCTCAACTTCGAAACTGCTACAAAAATTACTACTTATTGTCTACTTACATAATCCACCGTATTGTGCTCGTAGGGTTTGGACACATCAATTCCGTCACACACCACCGAATTTTCCGAGTACTTGATGCAGCACTGTCTGAGTTCCTCGATTACTACCTCACAGCGAGCCGGCTGATACATATTTTCTAATAAAAAAAATATGTATTAAAAATAAATCTGTATACGTAATCTTACCTCTGGCCCCATAACCTCTATTCCTTATAGACTCCTTTTCTACGAACCTTTCAAGCATGTTTGTAATTTACAAGCAAATTTTTTACAAACATCCGTATGATTCATACAATTTTCGTATCTTCCCTACCACAATAAATAGAAATTACGCAGTTTAAAGCGATATTAAATATTAATTTTTCAAAAATCCTATTCTCTCTCAATTGAAGAATAAAGCACTCTCATCAACTCTCATGGCAGCCACCTCGCAAGTGTCATGGCGGACCATAGACGTATTAAACCTAGACCAGAGATTATAGGGGAGATCAGCAGGGCCAATGTAAAGTGTTCTACCAGAGATTATAGGGGAGATGAGCAGGGCCAGGGTTGGGCATATCTCGCAGATGGAAGTTTATGACGTGACATTGTCAAATACCGGTAATTTACCTCTGGGGCGTCAAAAATGTCAAAAAGTGTCAGAAAGCTCTTTACAAGGAAGCTAAACTAAAAAGTCACAAGGGTCAAAAGTGAGAGGCATATCGGCCGGAAATCGTTAACATCAAACAAACACGAGGGTTATCCTCGCGAAGGTTAAATATCGCAAGGGTTATGCCTTCTTAGGGTCTAACGTCGCAAGGATCAAACAACGGAAGCAATCCTTCAATCTGGAGGGTGAAACTAATAAGAAGGTCAACGGGGAACGCCAGGCGGTACAATTACAAGGCTCCAACGGTCATAAAGTTTAAACAAAAAAAGCAAGTAGGTTCACAAGGGTCAAACAGGTCACTAGGTCACGGCCACACGGCCTGGTTATCCTGACTGACCCTTATGATTTACCTACTTTGTGATTGTTTCTTGATCCTTTGTGATTTTCCTGCTTGTCTGCGTCTTAATTTTAACTCTTGTGATTTTTCAACTTACCTCTCCTGCAGGCAGAACAGTGACAAGGGTGGAATGATCATGAATTAAGAAAAAATAATCTGAAACTATTCCGTTTGGTCTTTGTTGTTGCTTATAATCATTTGACGCTCGCAAGTTATGATTGTCACGTTTGACCCTCGCGAGGTATGACCTTTGCGAAGATTGTCCCTCGCGAGGCATAACCTCAGTGGGTATGATTTTTTCGAATTTGACCCTTGTAACTCTGACAGGCGGTATTCTCGGTAAAAATCTCCCGGTTCCCCAAGGTGCTAATAGATGACGCCACATAGGTTTTTGACAGGTCAAAAAGCCGACAACTCGCCCGGGTAATTTACCTACTTTATGACCGGTCAAAAACCATGTAATTTACCTAAGGTAATTTACTTGCCCAACCCTGATCAGGGCCAGCCCCCTGAAACTAAATCCAATGCCCCTATACAATACGCGCAGAGATAATAGGGGAGATTGCTCAGGCTTATGGGAACTGTTCGATCAGAGTTTCATAGCGGTGGCGCGCATGAACTAATCGAGAGGCCGTCTCTGTGGGTAAAGAAATTTTCATCTATTACCATGGAAACAGTCGATAACAGGGATGCGTTCCCAATCTTAAATCCAACATGAAACCTCCTTTGCATTCACTCATCCGCTTGATTATCCCATTTTCGTTCATACAACTTCTTATTGTCTTAATTTGTAAATTAGTTGATCATAAAGGAGAGGGAGAGAAGGAATTATGAAGTCTTGAGCGAAAGAGGATCATTTATTTGAATTTCTATACAACTAGATCTTTAATAAAAAAAAAAA